GTAATAAAGTTCCTGCTCGGTCTGAGTTTGATTTGGGTGGAAACGGACGGCAAACGAAGCCACGAACATGGTGGGCGTGGCACCTCCACACTGTCATCGATAGCAGAGCATACATATATCACCTGCGCCACCTGTGCCACTTGTTGCAGCTCTCATTTTAAATGCATTCGCTGCAGGCTGCAGACAGACAGACAGACTCGTGTGTTTGCACATCCTTTGACAGTTGAGCCCTGTTGGGACTGGCATTGGATTACAGGATCTGCTGTTGGGGCACGCAGCAACACGCGCTGTCCCCCGCCCACCTAGCCCACCTAGCCCTCTGCCACTGCCCTCTCCCTTGCACGCCCTTTGGCTTGGCTCAAGGCCCTTTTTGCTTTGCTGGTCAAAATGGCGACGCAGTTTCGCTTGACTATGGAGCGCGAGGGGGTGGCGGAGGAGGGGGTAGGGAGGAGTAGATTCTGTGCGGCAAGGGCAACTGAAACAGCACCGCACTTGCCTGCACATGCCACACGCAATCTGTGTCGCATTAACCACGTGCCACGCCCATCATCCAACACCAGCACCGCCCACTTGTCATTCGCCACTCCCCGTTCGATGGCTGTGCTGCATGTAAATTATTTTTAAATACCACAAATATTTAAGCAGCTGCACAAGTTGAAGTTCCAGCTCGAACGCATTCAATTTGTGCGCTCCTTAATAAGCAAATAAGCGCCTCAAAATAAATATACTCTATATAAGTAAATGAACTTAATAAATTTAAATTGTGTATAAAGATAGTGACTTTTGTCTGTCCGATCCAACGCTCGAAAAATGCAGTTTTGGCTTAAATTTTAAGAGATCCATATGATCAATGAATACACAATTGAATAGCATTCCAAATCAGAGCGTACCAATCTCGGAGCCCATAAGAGATAAATACTATAAAATTGTGAAATCCCGACATAATTGACATGATCTAAAGCTTGGGTCCCAGAGTGTACTAGAGTGACTGATTGTTTTTATTGATTGATACCAAAAGCTTGGAGAGCAAAAAGTCGAAGAAATCTTTATATTTTTTCGTTCAATGTTTTAAAGGTAGAGACGGTTAAGTAACTGCACCCCCCTCTCCCTTGACTTCCAGAATTTTTCTTTTGACTTTACAATTAAACTGGTAAATCAGAGTAGATATGTTTTGTGAAAATGTTGGCGACTCGTAAAAATGGAAAGGCAAGTCCCTCAAAATGTATATATATTCATAATAAAAATTATATATTCGTCTAAACGTATCAATTTAAGATCCCATACGAATAAGAAACTATAAAATTATGAAAAGTCTCTGCCTCTTCCACGCGCATATCCAGTTTATCGAAAAAATCGATAGCTATTCTCACTTTAATATTATCGATTAAAAACCTTTGCCTTTACTTTAATGTAGAAGGTGCGTAGAACGATTGAAAGTACAAACATAACGTGGCGGTGCTGGTAGAGTCTTTGTCCACAAGTCCTGCGATGTTTGGCTTTGATTATTTGATTGTGAAGCATCGCATATCATTATGCAAGATCAAGCTATGGAGTAAATCAAAAACTGCAAGTCGGAAGGTCTTCGGGATGACTTTTTGTTGGGCACCCTAGGCACGACTAGAGCTTCTTCACGTATTACTCCTTTTTTGTTGTGCTTAAGTGTATGCAAATATCCTCCGAAATTCATATAAAAACCAGAGTATTGTGCATATATGCATTAATATGGATATCTGTATAGTTATACCGAAAATTGACAACCGTATCTCAGGCAGAACCTGTATGAATGTGTGTGTGTCTGTGCGTGAATAAATACAAATATATAAATGTGCTCAGATTCACACTCATTTAGTTGCGCCCGCCAGTTCAATGAACGACTTGTCGACTGCGGTTATTACTCATTTTGGCGTTTTTGTATGGCGCAAAGTTTTTACCTAATTAAATCAACAAAGCGCTGGAAAAACCACACACCCACACATACACCACAATGCAGATACACACCCTAACACACATCCCGTTAATGAGTCTAAAACAAAACCTTTTCATAATCAAATGCAATTATAAAGCCAAAGCCCAAAAAATGAATCAAATTTAACTATATCATAACAGAGCAATACCAAATTCCAAAAAAGTCCTCAAAGGACCCTTAATGGACTGAAAGGCTTATGGGGTGGTACTGGCAGTGCTAGTGGTGCTGGTAGTAATGTCGAACTGTCTGCTAAAATATATCACAGCTTCAAGTTCAAATTTATCACAATGAAAGTTTAGACAAGTGCGAAATTTGTTTTCATACATCTTTTTCTTCTTCTTTAGTCCCATTCTACTTGACTTGGGACATGTTGGCGACGCTTTGGTGGAATATGCTTATACCCTATAATTTGAATAAATAGATTATGCGTTGTTCATATGTATTCCCAAATCAATTGAAATAAAAAAAAAAAAAAAAAAAAAAAAAAATTGCTCGAAAGATAGACATAAATTATGAATTAATTATTATTAATAATTATTATAATTTTTGAGTTTTTTGTTTACTTGATATTTTTTCCGCGTGTTTTACCATAAATATTCAAACTGTGGAATAATATACATATATTTTCATTATTTGACATTTTTCTAATATTTAGCAACTATAAATTGAAATTACAGTGTATTTGCAAATCAGCTAATTTATTTGTTTGCTAATGCCCTCCGTTATATTCATGGTATTAGCTAGTCAACTGCAAACTCTAACTGCCAGACACGCCAGAGCCAAACTTGCGGAGGAAGTTGATGACGTCTGTCTGTGAGGATAATGTGACTTTACAAAATAGATGTAAATTAGCGGCACAAGCCGTTAATTAGCCCAACTGATAAATAAAAATCCAAAGAGTGGAAGGAAAATTGCGGATGATGATATTGAGAAAATGAGGAAAATGTCTTAGATTCTATAGGAATATGACTTAATTCAAAGCTAAATAACGCAATGGAACTGGTCGTGCAATCGCTCGCTACCGACTGCATAATACTTATTCACATCAAGAAACATTTAAATATTTTCGGTAGAGTTTCGAAGCTATCGAAGCGATAACTAAACTTTTCAATATATAGATTTGAAAGGGAGCCAGCAGTACTTGAACTAGAATACAGCCCTTTGACTGTAGAATATACAGAATATACAACTATTTTCAATTTATGTTGAAGTTCGAAATTTGAAAATATTGGGGAGAGTTCGGGCTCGAAAACTGGATGCAACCCAAATATGCATACAATTTTATATTGCATCCATATAAGAGATGCAAAGTAGTTTTGTATATTAATTTTTCCTAATTCAAAGAGTTAACAAGATGCAGAACTTCCCATTTAGAAAATAGATTACATAAAAGTAGTTAAAAACAATTTTGATAAATTAATTCCTTTATTCAAGAGAAGTTTACTGTTCAATGCATATTCTTGATAAAGATTTCTGACATTTCTTAAAAACGAAATAAGCCACGACTTAATTGTTCTCATTTTCATAATCCAAAATTTGTTTCAATATCTGGTTTTCAATTATTTTGTTTTTGCTCGAAAATATGCCAAGTCGCCTTTAAGTGGGCCTTGCCAGTAGATCACAAGACAAAATTCTAAAAGTTACATAACTCTAATAACTCCAATAAACCAAAAGAAATTTCAGCAAATCGTTTTTACGACCGAACAAAGCAGAGCGAAACCCCTCTAGAAATGAGAGGCTTTGCCAACTGGATAATCTGCTTGGGCCTGTCCCTTTTAATATGGACCATCTTTTACTACTCACAGATGATGGCTGACCAAGAGGAGGCAGAGCAAATGGGTAAGTTCGAGAGAATGGCAATAGAAAACTTGTGATCAAAGCAGCCGTATCATGAGTTCATAATCCCCAAATGTTAAACAACAACTGACTTTCACACGTGACACAACAATGAACTATAATATGGATACGAACAATACATTAGATGAGGAACTGCAGGATGCGTTCGCGGACACTTGCAAGGGCAGCTCCATTGATGTATACTTACATTTCTTTTGGATCTTCGCATGCATCTACGCGCTGTCCAAGTTTACGGAGCTGTCGGAACGCTACCTGAGCGCGAAGATCGCATCGAAGGAGCGCAGCTCTGATATGCGCATCCTGAACGAGGAATGGGAGAAGACGCTCAAGCTATACGAACTGGACAAGAAGCAATTGGACGCTCAGCTGCAGGCGCTACGCGAAAAAAATGGAGGCTTGGAGCAATCGATGCGAGATCTGCGGGATTGCAATTTGCATTTGATCAGTGAGAACTTCATGCGTACTGTGCTGCAGGATCAACAGATTCAGGGCTTGGCTCAGCGTGTTCAGGATCAACAGCCCTCGAATATCTATATAACAAATCGACATATTCACCTGACCCGACAGGTCTTTCTCAACGATGGGCAGGTTGACCTCGATCGTCAGCTGCGCAGCGTGGGCGGACAGGAGCAATCGTTGAACGTCTGGGTTCAATACCTCAAGATGCGCAAATGCTACATGGGGCCCATAGCTGACCCGAAGTTGGTGCTGAACAACTATACGGAGCATATGATGCCCATTGTCATGACGACCGAGCAATTGGCCAAATTGCAGGGTATGCTTCGAATAATAATTCTCTAGAGACTATTCAGAACAATTCGCATTTATTTCTTTCAGGCATGATTTAACTTATCTTTGTGACAGTTCTGTTCGTCTTTTGATATCCGGGGAAATGGAACGCTTTTTATTCACCAAAGTTCAATCAAAAAAAAAAACAGCAGAAATTTTACTCACTGCAAATATGTTAAGATAAACAAAAGAAGCCTTTCGTACTGTTAATAAAAAGAAGAAAAAGGTTTGTATATATATACATATATAGATATCCATTCACGTATATACATATTTTTAATAACGCTTCTTCGCAGTATAAAAAACTTTACGAAACGTTTGTACCTCTTACTTGGGACGTCTCACCTACTCTTATGCTAAAAATTAATAATCAGCGATTCGACAGGTCTTCCAGTCAGGTGTTACAGATTTATTTGCGATCAAACTATATATGTTTACAAACATTTTGAATGGTATATTAGTGCATTATGTAATAAGTATAGTAATTAAATGAATCAACGATTAATTATCGAACTCGAAGAGCTCAGCATTTACTGGTTTTCTTTTTGGGAGTTTCTTCTGTTTGCCGATTCAGATCTGGAACGGTGGGAAAATAAATATTATGGACTGTAAACCAGCATATGTTGAATAATACCATATGTTATCAGTCCTTGGGATAATCATCTTCATTGTTTCAATATAACTGCTGTAATTTATTTATGAAAACTTTCTAAACTTCAGATCGAAACAAAACTAATTTTATATATTTTACAAACTTCCAATTTATTTACACCGAATTGAAAAAGTTTTTCAAATTTTTAAACCACATTTAACTGAAAAGTCAAAGCTAAGGATGATTGTATTTTAGTAAGCTTTTCAGTTTTATATGGTTGCCAATTCCATATAAATTGGAGTGGATGAGGGGAGCGGGGGAGGAAACGGAACGATGACGTTTCACGCCGATGACTTATCAGTGGCAGTGTGCCTGCCCAGCCCGTTCCCACAGTCCCTCCCGCCCACCAGCCCATGCTCTCCGCCTGTTTCTTTCGCGCTGTTCTCAGTTATTCGCTTTATTCACGCTGGGGTCAGTGGCAGTTATCGCTGCAATTTTGTAATCAGTCGACGGCTCAAGGTTAACAACAAACCATCTCCTGCTCCCACACTGCCCCCTCTCTCTCACTCTCTTCCACACACACACACACACGCACATATATATATTGACTGTCCCCATGCTTGTATTTGCTTTTCTCTTTTTGCATTTGCATATACACATACATATTTATCGTTATTTTCGTACTTTTCTGTTTTCTTTTTTTTTTTCAATGTATTTCACTTTTGATTTGATTTTACTTTTATTGTATTTCGTTTCTTTTTGCCAATTTTTGTGACTTTTTTCTGGGTCATTTGCCAGTCTGGCTGTCGGGTAAATTTTTGTTTCATATTTCTTTTTGTAGACATTTTTGTTAATTTAGATTTATTGCCATTTAAATGCACTTCCATTGTATGTATTGCAGCTTCAGTTGATGATTTCTTCAAATGTTTTTTGGCTATTTAGTTTGTATTCTTTATTAGGAGAGTATCTCCTTTAAAAGTGAAATTTCAGGGTATAACACTTCTGTTAAATGTATGTATATATCTTATATCTTTTCGTCCGTCCATCCGTCTATCCGTATGTGAATAGAGCACATACAGATTCGAGCTTATTTCCATAAATCGATAACTATTCTAGTTTGAATATGATCGATAACAGCCAAGATCAAAATTTCATTGTAAAATTATATCTCCTACTGGTGCTAGAGTTTAACAATTAAACTTCAATAAATGAATTATGTATATCATTAGATAATTTCGCCAAGATCAGTTGCAAACATACCCAATATGTGAAATGGTTTTGAATTTTTACTAAAATGACAAATATTCAATAGATCTAGATTTCCCTCTGTACGTCCAGACGCGTTTAATTCAGCACCCATAATAATATATTGGGGGTACGGTACTTTAGTGGCACCCTTTATACTCATATCATATAATCTTCAATTATCAGTTACCTAAGCTACTTTTACTTCAGTCAAGTCTTTGCATTGGGGCTGCTCTCAGAATAATTCTAATATTAGCTGGGACGTATCTTTATATCCATTACACACATCCATTAATAGCTGAGCTTAATATGGTTTCATTGTTTGCCAACACTGGGCCACAGCTTACTCCCTGAAGCACTTTGGCACATTGCGTCGCACAATTATTCATTACACTACACACTTTCTGGGTCACAGTTAACAATGTCAACAACGTCATTCGGTTTGCCACCCGCATACGCCCACACATATATCTATATATATGTGTACATATATATATAGAGCCGAAAGCTTTGCACTTAGTAGTTTTAATTGTTTTTCTCGACATTGTTGACACCCGCTCGCCCCTAGCACCGCCTGTTAGCAACCCTCTCTCCCTTCACTCCACTGCTCTCGACAGGCGCCTACATAAAGCCAGATATGACGCCGTACCTTGAATGGTTTTCAGCCATGCTCTACGTCAATATCAATTGCATACCAAATTCAAATTATTTATAGAGATAGATAGATAATCAAGCCCCTCTCCTCCGCCACCATCATTTTCGACCACACCCACAACAGACTTTACAGAATTGATACTGCGACGCACTTTGCACTATTTTTATTTGCATAGATAATTTGTTTGCGCATCCGGAAATAGCCCATGAACAGACGAGAATCAAATTGAAGAGCGCAGAACAGAACCGAATAGAATAGAGCACAAACCTCTACGTAGACTGGCACACTAACCCCAAGAAAAGTGGGATACACAGGCGTGCTGTTGTCATTGGCCCCATTTCACTGATAGATAAAATAGTTTATCAAGGTTGCGTGCAAAAAAACATAACATAACATAAACCAAACAAGTAAAAAAAACTATAGTCGACTAAGAGATACCCTGCGACCCAACCGATCTGTAGTTTTCAGTCTACCAAAAAATGATATTACATTTTCTGGCTCCCCCAATAAATTTTTTAATAATGAGATAAATTGTACAATTATATCAATATATGTTCGATTATATCACAAGCTGATTTTCCATATACCAAGTTAACTTCAAGTTGATCACAACAAAGTTCCATTATCATCCTACATCGCATCTGCACTTTTCATTATATCTTATATTCGAGGCATCCTCTGACATTCTCAGTTAATTTCACCATGCAAAGTCTACATATATTATTATATATATTATTATATATATATATATATATATAATATTTTCACAGAATTTTTCAAATTCATACGTATTTTCGATATGCCCCACATAAAAAGTGTTTATCGCACATGGCGAAACGCAACATTAATTGAAAATGACCTTGAGATAATGACCGCATTTATGCAGATAACTGTGTTTGTGCTCGAGTCAAATTCTTTGCGTAGCTGCTGAATGAACCAGGAAGCGGGCCAATAACAATATAAAAGAAATTAGCTATTTATATTCGACTAAAAAACCACAACAATAAAATAGGCAAATGCTAAAGAGACGAAACATGTGCGCTAAATAATATTTCATATGGTATTTCAAGCAAGCATGAATGCTCCAGTAGGGGTGGCCGTCTACGATTTGCCCTGAATCCCGACGTATCTGGGTTTATGAATATACAAATTCATGAGCTTATTAAATTTTGATTCGACAACAATCATGTTCTGCGTCATTCGAAATCGCAGCGAAATTAAATACCATGTTCTAAGAAAGAAAGTTATTATCTCTCAAACTGTCTCTACTAGCACCGCTTTGCACGACTTGAGCAATTACTGGTAGAGTAACATCTATTAGAATATTAAAAAACCTCCTGACAATTCAAAAAAAAATTCAAATAGTTTTCAATCTATGGGGCCTATCCCGCCTCTTTTTGCCTGTTACGAATCCGTTATACATGGATTTCCAATTTTCAATTGCTTTATGGATTAACAACCCGTTTTCAGTGGGTAACCTTGTACTTCAGGTTATATATCTTAGTAGTCTATATATATATATATATATATATATATATATACATATAGCTGATAAAAAGTGCATGTTTATTGAAGCATTAAGCGGCTCGCATATTAAACAGCTGCGTAAATTTCTGAGAAAGGGGGAAGTGAAGGGGAAGTGGAGATCAAAGATCATAAAATTCTGTTAGCAAGAACAACCAGTTTTAAATTTTCGATATTTGCAATAAGAAATCACTCGATGTACAGAAAGAAAAGAAAGCAAATTGTGAAGTCGAATGCGAAATTGAGACAAATAAATCAGCATTCGCAAACAGCATCATAAAAATTCAATAAACCCAACTTCTGAAATACAGCCGAAAAATTGTCAATTAGTGCAGCGGGTTCAATAACTTCGCCATGGAATATCTAAACAGCTGACAGATCCTCATGCGTCATATGACAAAGCAGAGAATGTAAAGAAAGAGGAACGCAAGAAATGCCAAGAAACATTGAACTTGAAATTTAACATAGAAATTTTTTAATAAACAACAAAAATGCTGTCAGCGATAAGAAACGTTCAACAAATGGTTAAAAGCTTAGGAAAGGAAATAGAAAACGAATAATGCAACAAAAAGAAGACGTCGGAATACCCTGATGAATATTATAAGCATTTATTTATATGCCCCATTGACTTTATGCTCAAGTTCTGAACTAACTAAAGATTGTTCTTAAAATTCATATGATAGTTTTTTTTCGAGCCTTTGTGTATGTGGTCTGGGTATCCCATACATCATCTTATAGTTCATATCCGTCTACTCTTCAAGTTATTTCAATCACTATACGCTGAAGCCATAGAATATTGCTTATCAGGGTTTGTGGAAATCTATATAACAGACATAGGGACGCCCTATATTATCGATAAAAATCGATCAGTTGACTTCGTAGTGAAGTTTTACTTTTATATACCTCAAGGATTACAGACTTTAAGAGTAGCATTACTTGCCCACAATAGCTGAATAGTTTCATATATCTAGGTAACTGATTTAAGATACTTTCTTAGCACATATTACATATATCCTTCAACTCAATTCTTCATATCAAGTTCAGAATACAATCAAATTAGGATCTTTTTTGGCTACACATGTCAAGTATTTGAGTATATTATTACTGGGTATATAACAGGTATTTTTGTTTATAGGTCAATGTGCTATTTTTTGCCTGAGTCGGGTATATAACAAAAAAAATGTAAGAAATAAAATGAAATAAAGCAAATGTTGCCTAAGCCTCCAGCATCGAGCATCGAGCGTTGACACCTTCTTCCAGCAGGCAAAATATCCTAAACAATACATAACCGAATCGCAAACACAGTTCATTCACAGACGGGAGAACAGATGCGGACAAATGGGTCGATTAGCCAGATAAGGGCTTAAGAGATATGCCTCAAAGTCGATGAGACGGTGTCGCAATGACAGAACAAAAGTGAAAAGAAAACAACAACAATATGAATAACAACAATATGAATAGCGAGCCCAATGAAATGTTTATTTACCCAAAAATTAGGGTCAGGGCTAGAGGCAAATGACGACAGCAGACAGACAGGCCAGAGGGACGAAGAGATGGAACAGAGTGAGACAGACAATATTTGAGTGCTTTCTTATCCGCCTGTCTGGCTTTGCTATTGTGTACACTGTTGTATTTATGTGTGTGTTTGTTTCTTTTCTGTGTCATGCGAAAGCGAAAATATTTTATATATATATATTCATACATATTGAGTTAACTGCCCCTCCACCACCCCACCCACTTTCAACAAGAGTCGTTCATGAGTCTCAATTCTAATTTCATTTAAATGCTGTCCGAAAGCGCAAACACGCTCTCTCGTTGTCTCTATCTCTATCCTTCACACGCGCGGTTCAGCCCGCTGCTGTAGCTGTCCTTGTCTTGCGCCAGACACACAAAACATCCGAAACTCGAAAAAATAACAAAATTGCAGCCCGCCGGCCATTTTGTTTTTTATTTTTTTCGGCGATTTCATTTTGCCATTGTTCTGTTGCTGTTGTTGCTGTTTTCGTTGTCGTTGACGTGCTGTCTACTGCTTCTCGCGCCTTCGCTTTGACGCCCCCATCAGCAGCTCACAAGCCCCCTGCTTGCCCGTCACACCCCCAGCACAACGAAGTCGACGTCGCGTCGTCGTCGACTTTTCTGTTGTTGTTCTCTAAAGCGCATAAACGTGTCGGT